GCAATGACTCTATCCAGTCTTTGCCTTTTCTTTGTTGGGAGACTTTTTATTACTGCTTCAATCTCATTACTAGTTATTCATCTTTTAGATATTTTATTTTAGATGGTTCATTTTCAGTTAGTCATATGTGCCCATAAGTTTGTCCATTGCTTTTAGATTTTCCCGTTTACTGGCATATAGTTTTTCCCAATATTCCCTAATGATCCTTTGAATTTTAGTGGTAACTGCTGTAATGTCTCCTTTTTCATCTCTAATTTTATTTATTTGGAACTTCTCTTTCTTTTCACTAGTTTAGTTAAAGGTTTGTCAATTTTATTTTTCCAAAAAAACAACTCTTAGTTTCACTGATCCTTTGTTTTGTTCTTTTAGTCTCTGTTTATTCATTTTTGCTTTCTTCTTTATTATTTACTTCCTTCTCCTAATTTACAGTTTGGTTTGTTCTTGTTTGTCTAAGACACTGGAATAATTATTAGGTTTTATTAGGGTTAAGGAGCAAATAAGGAAATGGAAAGACATACAGAAACTAGCCAGAGGAGGATGCTGTTATTATCCCTTGGGCTAAAGTATAAGGGTTAGGAATGGAGTTATGGGACATTAGAGGAAACAGAACCATGGAGAAGAGGTTGTGGAATAGAAGCTGTATTATAGAGGGATAGAGTTACTGTGCTGAATAAAAGAGTGGGAAGAAATGTCAACTTCTCCCCTCTCCCCTTCCATTTGCTAGCAGCATTTCTTATTGGCCAGACCCAACCAAAGCTAATCAGAAAAAGCCCCAAAGATGCAGTTTGCACAGGTGAAAGCAGAGTTAAGAATGAATCTAGAAAAAAACTAGGGATAGTAGGAATATACCTCAACATTGTAAAAGCTATATATTCTAAACCCAAGGCCAATATCATTCTAAATGGAGAAAAATTGAAAGCATTCCCTCTAAAAAGGGAAACAAGACAAGGATGCCCTCTTTCACCACTTCCATTCAACACAGTCCTAGAAACTCTAGCCAGAGCAATCAGATAGATGAAAGAAATAAAAAAGCAAAGGGATACAAACAGGAAAAGACAAACTCAAACTATTCTTATTTTCTGACGACATGATTCTATATTTAGAAGATCCAAAAAACTTCACCAGAAAACTACTAGAACCCATAAATGAATTCAGCAAAGTAGCAGGATATAAAATTAAACCCATAAATCAACTGTGTTCCTATACATCAGTGATGAATCAACTGAAAGAGAAATTAGAAAAACTATCCCATTCACAATAGTTTCAAAAAAAAAAAAAATTCTGGGACTCAATCTAACAAAAGGGTGAAAGACCTCTACAATGAAAACTACAGAACACTATAAAGAAAGAAATTGAAGAAGACCTTAGAAGATGAAAACATTTCCCATGTTCTTGGAAGGGCAGAATTAATATTGTCAAAATGGGCATACTACCAAAAATGCTATACAGATTTAATGCAATTTCCATTAAAATTCCAATGACATTCTTCATAGAAACAGAAAAAGCAATCATGAAATTAATTTGGAAAAACAAGAATAGCCAAAGCCATCCTTAGTGAGAAAAGTGAAGTAGGAGGCATCATGATACCAGACTGTAAATTATACTACAGAGCTAACAGTAACAAAAATGGCATGGTATTGGCACCAAAACAGACATGAAGACCAATGGTACAGAATAGGAGACACAGAGACAAACCCACATAAATACAAAGGTGCCATAAATATACCAAAAATCCATATGTAGCCAAATGAAATTAAATCCCTATCTCTCACCCTGCACAAAATTCAACTCAAAGTAGATCAAGGACCTAGGCATTAGACCAGAGACCCTGTGCCTACTAGAAGAAAACATAGGCCCAACTCTTCATCATGCTGGATATTAGGAACTGAATTCCTCAACAAGACTCCTAAAGTACAAAAAGTAAAATCAAGAATCAATAAATGGGATGGTATCAAACTAAAAAGATTTTTCACAGCAAAGAAACATCAAGAACATAAATAAAGATCCTACAGAATGGGAGATAAATATTTGCCACCTGCACCTCAGATAGAGCATTAATCTCCAGAATAAACAAAGAACTCAAAAACCTCAACACAAAAACAACAACAAAAACAACAAAACAACAACAACAAAACCCATCAATAAATGGGCAAAGGAAGTGAATAGGCACTTCACAAAAGAAGAAACTCAATTGGTGAACAAATACATGAAAAAAATGTTCAACATCTCTAGTAGTTAGAGAAATACAAATTAAAACTAAACTGCAATTTCATCTCACTGCAGTCAGAATGGCAATTATCAAGAATACAAGTAACAATAAATGTTGGTGAGGATGTGGAGGAAAAGGTACACTCGTACATTGCTGTTAGGACTGCAAATTGGTGCAACCCCTCTGGAAAGCAATATGGAGATTCCTTAGAAAACTTGGAATGGAACCACCATTTGACCCAGTTATCCCCCTCCTTAGTATATACCAAATGGGCTTAAAATCAGCATACTACAGTGATGCAGCCACATCAATGTTTATAGCAGCTCAATTCACAATAGCCAAGATATGGAACCAATGTAAGTGTGCTTCAACAGATAAATGGATAAAGAAAATGTGGTGGGTGTGTGTGTGTGGGTGTACACACACACACACACACACACACACACACACACAATGGAATATTACTCAGCCATAAAGAAGAATGAAATTATGGTATTTGCTAGTAAATGGGTGGAACTAGAGACTGTCACGCTAAGCAAGTGAAATAAGACAATCCCAAAAAACCAAAGGAAGAATTTCCCTCTGATATGTGAATGCTAACTCACAATAATTTGGGATATGTGAATGCTAACTCACAATAATTTGGGAGGTGTAGGGAAGAATAAAAGTACTCTGTATTAGACAAAAGGAAATGAAGGTAAACAAGGGGGAATTGGAATAGAAAATATAGTAGAATGAATTGGACGTAACTTTCGTATGTTTGTAGGAACACAGGAAGCACAACCTGTGTAACTCCACATTATGTATAACCAAAAGAATGGGAAGTTATACTCCATGTATGTATGATGAATCAAAATTCTCTCTACTGGAGCTAGGGTTGTAGCTCAGTGGTAGAGTGCTTGCCTGGTGCATGTGAGGCTAGATTCAATACTCAGCACCACATAAAATAAAGGTATTGTGTCATTCTACAACTAAAAAATATTAAAAAATATTCTCTACTGTCATGTCTAAAAAGAATAAATAAGAAATAAAATAAAATGTATCTCATGAAAAAAAGGAATGAATCTAGAGGGTAAGGAGGGGAAATGAATAGAGAACAAATAAAACCTGAAATTTTATTAGCAATGTTGTTCAAATACTAAATATCTGAGATTCCACAGGAATGTGTAGTGTTGGCTTTTAGGTATAATGATACTGATTAAATAAAAAACCTATTAAGAATTCTCATTCTCATGTGTATTTTTTTTTGTTATTGTTGTTGTAACAGGGACTGAAGCCAAGGGTACTAAACACTGAGCCACATAAACAGCCTGTTTTTTAATTTTTCATTTAAGACAGGGTCTCACTAAATTGCTTAGAGTCTCTGTAAGTTGCTGAGACTGGCTTTGAACTTGTGATCCTCTTGCCTCAGCCTCCCAAGCTGCTGGGATTACAGGCATGGCACCATTGTGCTCAGCTCATGAGTTTTTTTTTTTTTTTTTTTGCGGGGGGAGCAAAATCATACAGCAGATGAGTCTAAGGGTAATAAAGCCCACCCTGCAAATTAAAATAAATTTGAAGGAACTGGACATAAAATCAGAACCAAACTTCATCTTTTAAACATGAACAATTGTTACTGTAAATAAAAATCCATGCATATGCTATTAGAAATCAGCCTAATGGTTAACTTTAGGTATTTTATGTATATATATTTCCATAAAATATAAAATAGCTATGATTATAAATTTTAAAAAACCATAACCAAGTCAATGTATTTCTATGCCTTTCAAATGATAACAGAAAATCAAATGATAACAGAAAATCTTCTTATAGATCTGAGATTAATTACATTTGAGACATCTTTTCCACATGAATAATAATATGAATATATAATACATAAGGTGATATGTGTTAAAGTTTATTAAAGTGTCTTCTGTGTATTAAAGTTTCATAAACAGAAAAGGAAAAATGAGAAATCAACTACTGTTTCACTTATTTGATTCCATCAGCGAAAGTTGCTCCATAAAGTGAATTTTCTCGATGAGTAAAAATAGTTTATGATAATAATATAAATTATTGATCTTGGCTGAAATCTGATAATAAGACTGGGGACTTTTTCTCTTATTTCAAATTGCTCCTACAGGAGTAATTTGAAATAAGGGAAAACCTGTAAGAGGAGTGCTCTTACAGGTTTTGCATATTTTTTCTTTTTTACGTAGCTTTTCTTACTTCTAATAACACTTAGAGTCCATTTGGAAGATCTTAGGGAGTTTGATTCTAGTTTATTCTCTCCCTCCTTTATACTATAATTTTTCATTTCACATAAATTGGGTTGAAAAATCAAAAAACCAACCATTTTAGAATTATGCTTAAATCAAAGAGTCAAACCACACTGATTGGAAATCCTGTGGTTCATGACATTGGTTCTGGTTACTCCACAACCATTCCTTGTTTCCTACCAGGTTTTTAACTATGTTTGATGTCAGCATTTTCCATGTTATATAAATGAATTCTACAGTTTCAGAAGGTAATTTCTGTGGATAGAGGTGGGTAGTTTGCTGAATGGCCCCTTTCTCCTGCTTCATTGAGACTGTAGCCCTCTTTTATCTGTTTTATGCTATGAGCTTTGTTTTAGACTTTGTTTAACAAAGAGATTTTACTGCTAAAACAAGTGCAAAAATCACTTTTCAAGAAAACTTACTTATAGATTTGTATAGCTTAACTGACAAGTATTACAGTTGCAATTTTTTTTTTTTAAAACCTCCGAAACTCCAGAAAATAGAACCCATTTTTGAAAGGAAATATAAATTACCTGAAGTAAAGGGAAGAAATCCTCCTGTTCTAGAGAGCTGCAGCTGGGTTTTGCTAGAAGACAGATAAACTTAGAGGCATCATCATGATGGTTATTCAGCAACCTACAAAAGAAACAACTGCTTAGGAAGATCTGCTACTCTGAACCATGACTACAACATGACTGGTCATTTCAGTCTGATCTGAAGGCCACTTAGATTAAGAATCGAGCACTCTTTTCTTTTTTGGGGGCTTGGAACTGGACCCAAGGCCTTGTGATTGATAAGCAAGTACTCTACCACTATGATACCCCCAGAACAAGTCCTTGCTTTTCAATGAATTCCATGCTTTTGATTTTGTTAAAGGAATATCTTAAAAGCTCAATAACAAAATGGTATATTATTCTAATAGAATGCTTCTGAGACTGAGATCAAAGAGTCAACTGAACTAGTGCAGACAAAATATGTATTATTAAAATACACTGGGGGAGAATATCCATTCAGTTCAGTGCAGAACATTTGGAACCAGAACTTCTAAGCTGGCCATAGCAAGGAGGGTGTGATACCTCAGATGGACAACTATGCATTACACAAGGCATAAAGTACCCAGGTTGACAGACCTTCAAGGCTAACCTGATAGGTGGCTTTTGAAATTAGACTCTGAAGGAACAGGCTTAAAATAATGAGTGTTCTATTAATTCTTCTCAGTTCCAAGAATTCTTATCTCCAACTATTTGCTAGATGTTTCCAATTGGGGACTATATTCTGATAGCAAAGCTGAAATACTGAAAACCAACTTTAAAAATCTTTCTCTCAAAGTCAGTCCTTATCCTGGGCATCTGTTTTTTTTTTTTTAATATTTATGTGTTTTTTAGTTGTAGTTAGACACAATCCTTTATTTTACTTATTCATTTCTATGTGGTGCTGAGGAACAAACCTAGAGCCTCACATGTGCTAGGTAAGCGCTCTACTGTTGAGCCACTTAGAGGCATCATCATGATGGTTATTCAGCAACCTACATTTATTTTTGTAAAAATGGTGGTATCTTAGTTGTCTGGGTTTGACACTTTGAAGTCATTAAGAACTTATTTCTTTTCCTATTCTTTATAACCAATTAGTTTCCAATTTTCTTGGAAAGAAAGAATAAGAAGAATTTCTTATTCTTCATTAATAATTTATTGAATACTAACTATGGGCCAAATATTGTAGCTGGTCATGAGGATGTAGGGGAAACAAGAAAATAAGACACAGTGTTATGCTCTGTAAGGAAGTTCCAGTATAATGTTTAGTTATCAATAAAATTAAACTATGAAGACCAGCCATAACAGAAGTAATCTGAACAGGGTACTATGGAAGGACAGAGGAGGCCAGTGAGATTCCCCGGAAAGTGAAGTAGAAAGGAAGGGCATTGTGGTAAGGAGGAAAATAGGTACAAATGCCTGGTATGTGATGGGCAACAGTAAGCACAGAGATGGTAAGAGAAAGGGATATATGCAGGTAGGATCAAATCCTGGAGGCCTCTGAAGTCAGGTCAAGAAGCCAGGACTTTAGTCAACTCCACAAGAGAATTTTAACTTGAATAGTGACATTATAAGAAGTGCTTTTTTTCAGAAACATTAAGCAAGAAACAATGAGAACCTGAACATGGATACTAGCAGTGGGAGATGAAGAGAAAGGTGCCCATTACCACGAAAGGATGTGGTAGCTGATAGGTGTTGGGCATGAGAGATTTCCCAAGTTTCTAGCTGGGACCATCAGGTGCTTGGAATACAGGATAGGAATACTGAGGAGTCCTGAGGAATTTTTCCACAGAATGTTCTAAACAATGGCTTATTCCTTTCTATTTCCATTGTACTATCAGATTCAAGCCCTTTTAAATTTATGTTGAGACTGCCAGAAGAGAAGAGGGTCATAACAGGGTTCGGTACTCATCCAACCTTGTATAACAGATGATTCATCATTCTAAAACAAATGTGTATGACATAATTTCCTTATTGAAAAATGTTCAGTAGCTCTCTCTCTCTCTCTCTCGCTCTCTCTCTCTCTCTTATAAGCATAAGCCTACTCTTTTGGGTTGATTTTAAATGTCTACCAAAAGCTCATGCATTAAAGGCTTGGTCCATGATGCAATAGTGTTCACAGGTGGGGCCTCAGGAGGTGAATGAATTATGGGGCCTCTGACCAAATCAACAGACTAATCCATTTACAGATCCAGAGCTTAATGGATTTTGGAGGAGAGGCTTGAAAGCTCTCTCTTTGCTTCCTGGCTACCATGAGGTGAGCAGTGTTGCTCTACCACATATGCCCAGCCATGATGTTCTGCCTCTTCCCAAGGACCCAGAAATTGATGGTGCCAAGTGACTATGAATTGAAACTTCTAAAACCATGAGCCAAAATAAATGATTCCCTCCTTTTAAGTTGTTTATCTCAAGTACTCTGTCACAGTAATGTAAAGGTGACTAACAGAAAATTGGTACAGGAAGTGGGGTTGTTACTGTGACTATTACCTGATAATGTGGTTCTGCTGAAATTGGCTCATGAGAGGGATTTGGAAAAGTTTGGAGATGTAGGCTAGAGACATTAAAAAATGCTATAAGGAAAGGTTAGTGGGCTAATTCTGGTGGGAGCTCCAAAGACAGAATACTAATAGGAATGCCGAGTAAAGACCAAGCTCAGGAGGATTCAGAGGGAAATGAGGATTCTACTGAGAATCTGACTAGAAGCCATTCATGTTACCTTCTGGCAAAGACCTTGTCTACATTTTGGCCATGCCCTGAGACTTTGTGTAAGGCTGAGTTTAAAGGTGATGGATTAACTAATCTGGCAGAGAAAATTTCAAGGCACCATAACATACAGGTCATGGCACAGATATTTCTGGCTGTTTTAGCCAGACTGACAGTGAGAATCAGGAGCAAAAAAATAATGGAAAGATCTGATAAACTGGCACCTCAGCCAAAAAAGAAGTACCAGTAAAGTTGTAATCAAGGAGGATATGGTTGTGTAAGAGATGAGTGTAATCAAAAAGAAATGCTTTGTAACAGGATAAGAGAAATCAAATCAGAAATACCCCACCCACCACAGGCTCAAGGATGTAAAACTCTTTCCAAAGACTGTGTTGAGAAGGGAGCCCTAGAGTGCACTGCTCACATAGGGTTGTCTAAGAAATGGTTTCCCTGGGATTTGTTCGGTTGCCCAGACTCTCAGAAGCCACTGCAGTCATGTTTCAAGATAGTCCTTCTGCTGGTGGCAGAACTTGGGACTCATCCATGTGGTGTTGGTTTTGTAGGCATGTAGAATGTAATAGTTGTAAGGTCATTGAGGCTTCCACTGAGATTTCAAAAGGAAAGCCTGGGAGGCAGGCAATGTGTGGCAGTGTCAAGAGTCCCTGCAGGCAGACCCTGAGAGGATGATGTGTGACGTTGTAAGAGAGAAACCCAAGCTATAATGGAGACTCCAGAAAGTTAGAGATGCCAAGAACGTGCAAGGCTTGCCAAAGGATGCCTCACGCGGTAAGAAGAGCCAGCCAAAGAGAGTGGCTATGTGGGCTGCAGCCAGCAAAACCACAGGTGTCTTGCTGGGACTGCCCAAGTCTTTTGGACCTCACATCACATCACTATGAGTTCAGATGCTAGATATGAATTTAATCAACTTAATGTTTGCCCTCCTGGGTTGCAATCTTATGGTCCCATTCCTCCTTTCTATGCCCCTATTTGTCCATTTTGGAATAATAATGTTTACCTATTTATCCCACCATGGTATGTTACAAGTATGTGACTTGTTTGTTGATTTTTAGAAGGATTTACAGCTAAGAGTTTGTCCAAAGTCTCTGAGAAGATTTTAAGATTTGGACTTTTGAACAATGCTGTTAAGACTATGGGGATAAACTGAATGTATTGCAGATAAACTGAGTGCATTTTACATTATGAGATGGACATGAGTCTTTAGGGGTCATGGGTGAAAATTTGTGGGCTGGGTCTTAAATGTCCTCTAAAAGTTCATATGCTAAAGGTTTGGTCCATAGTTCAGCAGTATTCAGAGGTAGGGCCTTCAGGGAATGATAGAACCATGAGGATTCTGAATTTATCAATGGATTAATCCATTTGTGGATTCACAGCTTAATGGGTTTGTGGGTAGGGCTCTCTCTTTGCTTCTTGGCTGCCATGAGGTGAGCAGCCTTGCTCTACTACATGCTCCCTGCTATATGTTCAACTCCCACTATAGGTCCCTCACTATAAAGAGATGGGGCCAAGTGAACATGGACTGAAACCTCTGAAACTGAGTCAAACTAAGTCTTTTCTACTTTTAAGTTCTCTATCTCAGGTATTTTGTCACAGTGACACAAAGCTAACATACCTACAATGGGCATTTAAGGCCCTCTGTAATTAGCCTGGAGGTGCCTATTTACTTATCTCATGACTTTGCTAAATGAAACAGGCAGCCGGCCTGAGTTTTATGTAGTTTTACCTGTGTCATTCTTATACTAGAAAACCCGCCCCCAATTTTGTCATCTTAATGATGTTAACTCTTTTAAGACCTAGTTTATAACATACCTCTTTCAAAAAGTCTTCTCTGACAACTAAATTCTTAATTGATCTTTGTCCAATATGTGTATCTCTCTCTCTGTCTCTGTGTATGTGTGTGTATAAAGAATTTAGTTCACACATATATAACAAAGATAAGTAAAAAATTTAGTTCTTTACTCTCTATATTTGTATTATTGGCTTTATTTATTTCTATGGATTTTTTTTCTTTAGCACCTAAAGGGAAGGAACTGTTGTAGCTCTTTTTATCCATAGTACATAGTTTAATCACTTATACATAAAAGACTCTGAAAACATATTAGTGATCTAACAGATTTATTTTTATATGGTGCTGAGGATCAAACCTAGTGTCTCACATGTGCTAGGCAAGTGCTCTACCATTGAGCTACATCCCCAGCCCCATGATTTTTGTATTTATTTTCTTATCATTTAAGGCCCCTGAAGTAAATAAAGTAAATAAACATGTTTTAGAAAAAAATCAGTGTAATGAAATAGGTGCAAATGAAAGTTACCTCTTAGGATTAGAAAGTGGGTGGGATGATGACAACAGAAAGGCAGTGAGGTCTTTGAAAAATAGATTATTTTTAAAAAGCACAGTATTATTAAATACAATAGCAATATGACACATGAGATTCAAATAGGGGATGGCTTTTTGCTATTAGAACCATGAATCAGAAAGAAAAGATGAATTACAATTCTATGGGCTAATAAACTCGTATATGACAGGAGAAATGGAGATAATAAAAGCCATAAAAGCTGAAGGACGAAAGTAAATGTAGCTATTTTACACTGGTATTCTATACTGACCATAATGTTTTTAAGACAAAATACTGTTTTGTTAATGGGCAAATAACACAATGATATAAAAAGGTAAAAGCAAATAAAACATAGTAAAGCTGAGCAACATTACTACTCCATGTGAGAAAAGTTCTGCCCCAAAGCTGGTGTTCCAGTAACTTAAAAAGCTGTTGAGCCATATCTTTCCCCTAAAAATGTCTGGCTATAGAAAAAAGAGATGTCAGAGTATAGTTATGAAATGGGCAGTAGTTCTAGGAAAGGAGGGGAACAGAAGAAGTAGGGGAGAGTTACTAAGGTGTTCATTCTAAAATCACTTGTAGAAGAGGTACTGAAGCCTCCAACACCTGAGTACTCTGACACGAAAGAAATTATTTCCTCTAATATTTATGACTTTTACATTTGACTTTATTTAAAAAAAAACCTCTATATTATTGGAGCAAGTCAGCATGCCTATGTATAGGCCAAAGTGCTTTAATGCTGTAACCTGCCAGTTATTTTTTGTGTTTGGAAATTCTGATATGCTATACTTGGGCCTAAGTTGCTTTATGCAAAGGGTAGTTTGTAAAAAATTTAAAGACATCTTTTTTTTCCTAGGTCAGGTGGTAACTCAAAGCATTATACTTAGCTGCTACTCTCAACAAACAGCTATACTTGGGTCTCTCTTAAAGCATCCTGGCTTTTAAAAGGCATTTTAAGAGCTCAGAGAAGAGTTCCCACTAGAGGGCACCAAAATCATTTAAGTATCTGACCAGGGCATTTTAATATAGACACATACATTTATATATTTGTTTTAAGTTAGCTTTTCTGTCCCTGTGACCAAAATACCCAACAAGAACAACTCAGAGGATAAGTTATTTAGGCTTTGTGGTTTCAGAGATCTTAGCTCAAAGACGCTGATACTATTGCTCTGAGCTTAAGGTGAGGCAGTACATCATTGGGGAAAGCGCCCAGCAGAGGAAAGCTGCTCAGCTCATGGAGGGACCAGGAAGCAAAGAGAAGTGGGTGGGAAGGGCCCACTAGGAAAATGAACTCTTCCAGGGTACACTCCCAATGACCCACCTCCCCCAGTTGCTTCTCACCTGCCTACAGTTACTACCCTGTCAGTCCATTTAAATGAGGATAGACTCATTAGGTTACAGCTCTCACCATGCAATCATTTTACCTTTGAGCTGCTGAAGGATACCTCAAGGTGATTCATCTCAATAAAGGAATACAGCTATTGTGGCTGCTGCTGTTGTACTGCTCTATCCACCAATATAAATGTCTACCCTATTTCAGTATACATAGTCATAACCAAAAACTGGCTGTGATTCTCTTTAATATTAAGGAGTTTAATGCAGATAAATCAAGTGGGGCACCAGTTTTCCTTTGCTACTGTCAAACTTAGTGTCCTAGAAAATTCAAAATAGAATATAAGTGATTATATTTCTTGTCTCTGGCTCTAATATCTCATATAATAGATTATTTTCTTTTTCAGTCTCCCAGACTGATCACAGCCTTTTCTTAAGCAATTATTACTCACTTCTTGCTGTTTTCCAAGATTACTAGATAGTTCTTGCTGATCTTAATGACTAAAGCTACTTCTGACAAGAACTGTTTCGCCTCCCTGTTCTTTTTATCCCTTATTCATACTCCAGCTAAGGCCTATTCAGGGCTTGCGCCTACCAGGGTGAAAGAAGCTAGCTGAATGAAAGCTAACATCTATAAATTTTAAGTTCTTAAATTCTGCTACTTTTACATATTGATTTTTTAAAAATCATACTACCCAGTTGAAATCCTGGTTTAGCTAATGGGAAAGGAGAGGGAGTACAAGCTGACTTCCTATTATTCCAGGTCCTACAATCTATTTTCTTTCCCCATGTTGCAGGTTGCCAGAAATAAAAAAAATACTCCAAGGGCAATGCCAGTTTCTCTGCTAGTTTACTCTTGCTCATTAGTATTGTTGTTATGATGTGTTTTTTTTTCCTATTTCTAGTATCCAAGAAATTCTACACATTTAAAACAGAAAGACACTTCTTATATTTATCAGCCTGTTTTCTATTTGCTATAGGGGTGGTAGAACACTGACTATGGAACTGTCTTTGGAGCGTCAGAAGGTAGTGTATGAGTAATGGCTCTCCTTGGGCTCTTTTATTCCTTGGTATTTGGACAGGTCAGAACTATTCCTTGAAGAAAATGGCTAAAATGCACCTAGACAACAAGAAGCATTTATTTAAATTTTAGCTTGGGTGTAGTTCTTTAAAAAAGTTTATTAACTGGAACAGTCTTACATACCCTTTAGTTCTAATATAATGAAGAACTTAGTGAACTCAACTTGCTGCTAGACTTTTAGAACTAAGAAAACATTTATTAATCACCTAATATGTTCTCAAGCATTATGCAACTAAGGGAATAGAAAGAATCTAAGTTGAATTCTGCTGATACTGCACACTGACTTGTATGATAATAGTAACTGAACAGCATTTCTACATAGTTTACTAGGGGGAAGGGTATATAACACAGAAAAGGTATAATTGGTTAAAAGAGGAAGAAGGTACAGATTTGATATTTTCCTAAAATGTATAAATATATTAAGAAATAACACCTTAAAAAGAAAGGTATAAAGGAGAAGAAAGTTGAGTTTGAATTAAAGAAAATTTATCAGAAAGTTAAAATTCAAGAATATTTTGATAAATACACTAGTCCTTTGATTCTTTAATTATAGCCCTCAAAAATAATAATTAAAATCTATTATAATTCAATTATTTTTGATAAATTAACTAGATATAATTCAATATTGGATTATATGAGAATGGAACGGTATTTTTCATGTGATACATGTGGTTTGTTCCCCTTTTATGTCATTGTTATTAGATTCAAATACTGAGTTTCAAATGTAACAAGTAAAACTAAGAAACTATTAAGTAGCTATTAAAATAATTTATTTATTTATTTTTGAGAGAGAGAGAGAGAGAATTCTAACATTTATTTTTTAGTTTTCAGCGGACACAACATCTTTGTTTGTATGTGGTGCTGAGGATCGAACCCGGGCCGCACGCATGCCAGGCGAGCGCGCTACCGCTTGAGCCACATCCCCAGCCCTTAAGTAGCTATTAAAGAAGTATTTCTGCAGATTTACTCTACTGTTTAAAGACATGTAAGGTAAAGGCTTGTGGTAAAGAAAATGGTTGTGAAAATTAGTTTCTTAGTTTTACTTGTTACATTTGAAACTCAGTATTTGAATCTAATAACAATGATATAAAAGGGGAACAAACCACATGTATCACATGAAAAATACCGTTCCATTCTCATATAATCCAATATTGAATTATATCTAGTTAAAATTTAGTGAAGTTTTCCTTACTGAAGTAAAGGGTAAAAGAAAAATGAATAAAACAAGTGACCTTTATAAGGCATGTTATGAGGACTACATAATTCTTTGTTAGCCTCAGACTAACTGCTCATACTTACTTTCTCCACATGGCAATGAATGATGGTGCTGATACAAATCCTGTCTTCTCTCCCCCTGCAGCCCTGAACATGGGGGCTTTCCAGTAGAGAGGACAGCCACAGATCTGCAAATAAAAATCAATAAAGAGTAAGGCCAGAGGCTGTGAAGGGATAACATGGCCAAAGAAAAGTATCTGGGACTTTTACCCTTCATGCCACAGTAGACAGAATGGCCTCAGGGTGAACACAACTGAGCCATAGGCAAATGTATCAATGAGGATAGATTCAGAGAGACAGAGAGAGAGGAATTAAAATTAAGAGGAGTACATACTTAGTGAAGAAAATCAAGCCAATAAACTTTTTCTCCAAGTTCATTATAGTGATATCTCTCCATCCTGATAATAAAGCAGCCAGTTTCCCCACCTGGCACTATTACATCATGTATTTTCTACCTTCTACAAAGAAAAAGAAATTAATGAAAATCATGGATGTATATGTCTTTCAATCCTTGAGCAGAATTTTATCATTTGGGTCACTTGTTGTTAAAACACTCAACTATTTATCTCCTTTCTCCTTTGCCTATACTTAAGTTTCAGGTTCAAGAACCAGAAAATCCTGTGTTGTTCAAGAAACCAGGTATCAAGCAGGTGTGGTGGTGCACACCCATCACCCAGCTACTCAGAAGGCTGAGGCAGGACAATTCCAAGTTCAAGGTCAGGTTAGGAAATTTAGTGACACCCTATCTCAAAATAAAAACTAAAAAAGGGCTGGGAATGTAGTTCAACCCCCAACACTGCCAAGAAAAAAAGAAAACTATATGGTTAAAATCTAAATGGTTATAATTCAAGTAAAAGATAAAAGGTAAAAATCAACATGCTAGAGCTACCACAAGTGACTACATATTATATATATTAATTCACTGAAAGTCTTAAAAGAACTAGGAATGAATATAAAGACTTTCAATACCCTAAAGAGTATTGATTTTTTCCTTAATAAAAGGCTGTTCTTTTCATTAAAAATAAAATACTGGCTTCCTCTAGTAAACAAGAGTTCTTACGAAATTTACCTGCTTTTTCCTTAGAGGGAAATTATTTTCTATAATTAATACTATTTAAAAATTAGGAATAATTAGAAATTATTAATTTAAAAATTTAAATTAATTTAAAAATTAGAAATAATGTCCACATCTTCTTAATTTTGTACATACATAGAAAATATATCCCTAAATCTAGAACTCTTCAAAGTGACATTGTATTAAAAGTTAAAGATATTATTCATATTAATACAGGATCTGTTGAGCTTTCATCATTCTACAAAGGGAAGATTCTTTTTTGGAGTTAGATTAGATGTGTATCCACCTTAGGTTTAGGTGAAGTTGCTCCTGGTGTGAGGCTTCAGTGCACAGGAGATTCCCATGGAAAGCATGAAGAGTACCTAGTTTAACATTAGTCATCCTGAGAGACCACCCAAGGATGCTGCTGGTTCATGGCAGAAATTAGACTAGGAAAAGCAAGATTTAGGCCAGTGAAGGTAAGGACAGGGCAGAAATAAGAGGCTGCTGCCTCCAGGGCCACTAAAGCATGTTCTGCAAGCAGGGTAGAGTTTAAGATTTCCAGAGGTTGAATACCTTATTGAGGTCAGCTTAACAATGATATGGCTTTGTTTATTGTATGATTGCCAAGGTACAAAGCTAACAATTAATATGCTTTGGGTGTGTGAACTGTCAAATCTACCTCCCCTACTCCCTGTCTCTCCTTTTGTGCAGAGTGGGTTGCCAAGGAAATACTCTTAGAGAGTCTTAGTGACGGGCTATTGGCAACTGTTGGGGAAGCTAAAAAAATGGTTCACATTACAGAGATGGGGGAGCTACAAGAACAGAAAGTGCAGGGAGAGACTGGAAATGGCTTGCCAAAGGTCTTGAAACTTCCCCTTCTGGAGTCATTCATGAATTTTTCGGAACTGGAAGGGTCAGGACTCTTAGAGCTCAAACTTGGGAAATAGTCACCAACCTTAGCTTATACACTTCAGGGACTGGGTGTTTATGTTTATAACCTCCCATGGGACAAGTTCCTCTATTAACAACTTTCATTCCCTTGAACTGAGGGTTTTTTCCCAGATTTCTGATAAAATGCATGTGTCAGCTCATGAATAGTGAGTGAATCACTAAGACATTAACACATAAACTTACTATGATCCAAAGGCAAACCCCTAAGAGAAAAGATACACCATGAAAATGTTTTGAAGGAGACTGGAAAAGGTCAGCCTTTTCTAATAGTGGGGAACCCTGAGTACACTAGTGTTACAACATGAAGGTATCAGGCCCTTGGAGAAAATGCCAAGAGGGAAAAAAGGAGAACAGTGAATGTCAAGGGTTGTGGACATTACATTTTGACTATTTAAGAAATGCATGGGGAGCTGGGGTTGTGGCTTAGTGGCACAGTGCTTGCCTAGCATGTGTGAGACACTGGGTTAGATTCTCAGCACTGCATATAAATAAACAACATAAAGTTCATTGACAACTAAAAATAATATTAAAAAAAAAAAGAAACGTATGGCTGGTCTACATCTACTTAAAAATCAAAGAATTAAGATAGAGGGAACCAGTGGATCAATAAACTAAAAAGTAAGTGATATTAATTTGAAGGTGACAAAATAGAACTATTAATAACACAAGTTAGAACGTTTTAAACAAAGGAAGAAAGTGACTGATAAGTGGGAACAAACAGGGAGATATAGAAAATGGATTTAGGAAACTTATGTTTAGAGTAAGTGAGAGTCAGAATATGGAAATCAAAGTCACTTGAGCAAAGAAAACTTGACTAACACCTACAATTTGATCCAAGAACAGCACAACATCAAGAACTGAAATCTAAGGTGGTGTATGCCTGTAATCCCAGTGACTTGGGAGGCTGAGGCAGGAAGATCACAAGTTCACAGAGACCCTGTCTCAAAATAAAAAATAAAAAAAGACCGGGATATAGCTCAATGGTAGTACTCCCCTGGGTTCAATACCCATTCCCAAAACAAAAAAGAACAAAACAAAACAAAAACTTGAAAGCAAGGCTGTCAAGTGATATAAACAGGAGATGATTACCCAATATTTGTAATGTTCATTCAACATTTTAAATTGTCTCATGCCTATTATTCATTAGATCCTCATATGATCTCATGCAGAAGAGGGCAGGCAGATTTATCCCATTTTGCAGCAGAAGAAATTCAGGTACAGAGTGGCTGCTTTACAGGTCACAGGCACAAATAGGTCAAGATAGTGCTACATCAGTCAAAAGAGAGGGGCTGGAGAGCTTTACATGGTTCAAAAGAGTTTTACTTTTTTTTTTCCCTCTCAACTTTCTGCTACAGGATAAAACTATGTAATGAATCCTCTGGCCTAGTCTCTGACAAATGCTTTTCTATCTGTTGCTCAGTTTTTGTTCTACACTGCTTTCATCCCTCTTTGGTTAATTCTCTATCTCTTCTCCATCTCACTTAATGCTGTGGGAAAAAGTACAAAAAATACATACATACTGAACCAGACATGACAGTAAGCTCTCTAGGGATGACTGAGGTCTAAGATCAAGAGGGTAAAACTGCACTAACATACACAGATTTCACGAACACAATTTTCTTTGCACTTAAAAAACAGATCCCAAACTTTACAGCTACACTTAAATGCCACTACAATTAGGTTGCAAACTCAAGCTCATCTTTCAAATAGCTTTAAAAACTATATGAAACCATAAACACATTCATTTACTGCTCTGATGATCTGTTCCTTCCTTGCCTCTTAAAGGCTGCCTCTCTTCTCCCTTTTTCTACATCAACCTACTGAAAGTTCATGGGCAGCAAGTGCTGGAGATAGAGTTCACTGTCTCCTGGCACAAGAGACACATATAAAAGATGGTTAAAGATAAGGATGACTAGTATGTGCTAACAGATTGACAGCTGAGTAAAAGCTGGATTAAATAAAAACAGAATAGCTGGAAGACATAATTAAATCAATTTTAAAATAAACAGTTTTAAGGAGAAAGAGACAAAAATCTAATAAAATGAGCTGATACAGCAATCAATAAAACACAAAAATCAATATACTTTTAACAACTTTTGAGGTCATTATATACATGGCTTCATTTTTATATGCAATGTTAGTTTTAACTTTCTAAAGGTATGGGCAGTTTACTTTGCTATCTGAACTGACAATTAAGGTTAAAAGGAATGAACACAAAGGCTTGGCACCCATGAATAGAATTTAGGGCCATCATCAAGTACAACTCAGGCAATTTAATCAGTCATATCTCTTTCTTGACTACTATCATGGAGTTTCTGGCTTTCTGCCTTCCTTTCACTCAATCTGTGGCATGCTAGGGAACCATGGTATAAGGCATGGCTACTATACTATAGAGGTGACAGGGCCAGACCAGGAGTATGTGGAAGCACAGGGAGAGCAGGGCTCTTCAACAGAGGTTAGGAATATTCAGAGGTTCAGGGTTAACCCAGTAGACTCTCTATGCAAGACAGGATGGGCTGCAGGTCTATGAAAGAGAAGCACTAATAACCTGGATGGGCTGTCCAGACATATTGACCCTGCTCCACACCAGGGAACTACTATGTCTTAATCTGGACAAGTTTTCCTTATCTGCCTATATTAAGCATTCTATGAAACCTTCCATCTCTTTCACACAAATTGTTCCCATTCTAGAAATACCTATTTGGCATTTATATAGTTGACATGTGATAAAAGAAAAATTCTGAGATGTTGTAAATTCTATTGCAAAGACCAATGAATGAAGGGGAAGAGATAAGGGAGCTTGGTTTACATTTAACCTTTCTTACTAATCTCAACCAATCCAGAAGCAACCAATACTTCTCCAGAAGCAACAAATCCAAAAGCAAAAAACCCATCTGATAGCTTTTCTGGCTTCTTATTATCCCACCCCTCTTATCTAAAGCTTATTTAGGTTACAGTGCTTTCCTTTTCCAATGTTTATAGAAATTCCTTCTAGCTCTGACCTGGTGAACATTTTCTAACTGCTATCTCACCCACCTGCTGGTAGTTGCTCAAACTTGTCCCAGGACCTGGTTTCTGGCTAACATCTATAATGGCTCAATAAATTCTTTTATGTGGGAGATCCCCTGATCTCAAGAGTTTTGGTTTAATACATGTTACCTCCAAAATGCAGATTGCACTCATCTTTTCTAACTTTTATATTTTTGATTTAGATCCATAGTTCCAGGCTATTCAGAGAATTTACTGTCTTGGTTTTGTCACCTAATATAGGAAAGAGAACTTGTAATTTATTTGGATGACTACCGAATGGGGGCTAGCTAATGTTTGTGTATGTTCTGATAGAAACTAGTTCTGTGACTTCAGTACTTGTGGTACTGCAATTTCCTCATAAGTAAAACCCTGTGGAAACAGGTAAGTTCTTACTTTTGGAATGAGGGAGTTTGTTGATCTAAGGGATCCAAAATCAAGTTCTAAGAGGGGGGAAGTGGCAAAGAAAGAGATAATAAAAGAAAGAATTCTTTTAAAATCTCTGTTCACAAACTATTTAGCAGCAACAGAAATGCTCTGTGAATGGAGTATTACTCTGCATTAAAAAATGACAAAATCATAGAATTTACAGGGAAATGGATGGCATTAGAGCAGATTATTCTAAGTGAAGCTAGCCAATCCCTACAAAACAAATGCCAAATGTCTTCTTTGATATAAGGAGAATAACTAAGAACAGTGTAGGGACGAAGAACAGGAGAAGAAGATTAACATTTAACAGGGATGAGAGGTGGGAGGGAAAGGGAGAGAGAAGGGAAATTGCATGGTAATGGAAGGAGACCCTCAGGGTTATACAGTGGAGGAGGTAGAGAGAGAGGAGGGGAGGGGAGGGGAGAGGTGGGGAGGGGGGA